CCTTTCACCCAGTTACCACCCTCTGGACCTTCCTCCTCCCTCCACCACTAATAGTTCTGGCCTTCCCAAACTGTTTTGCTCTTCTGATTCCTCTTGGATTGAAGCACACCAATTCCCCCCCCCCCCCCCCCCCAAGGCTCCACAGTTGGTGGGAAGGAACTGTATAACACCCTAAATCCCCACCTGTTGTTCTTTCCTATGTGCCAATTTCTAAACACAATAGGACTCTTTGCTTATCTATTTAGTTTTGTGTATATATGCAGTGTTGTGGAGATTACCCCTCCCCATACTGCCTGGTTTCCTTATCTTTTTCCACCTGGTCAGGACCACTCATAGAAGCAGTACCAGTAAGGGACTTCAATTTTAAAAAAAACACACATACACAAAATCACAATCTAGATTGATTTTGAGAGTAACATGCTAAGTGAAATAAGATGAAAAAGAACAGAAACCATATGATTTCACTTATATGTGTGATACAAAACAAAAAGCAAAAAAAGAACAAAGAAACAACAAATTTATAAATTCCACAGAATGGTGGTTATTAGAGGGGAAGAGGTTAAAGGGAGATTATAAAAGGAGACTAGGCTTTGGGTAGTGACCTTACAACAGACTATATGCCGGAAGCCGGTCCATCCTTGCTGCTGGGGTTGGACCCCAGCAACTATACAGGTGTCAAGTTAGAGGTTGTACACCTGAAATGTATATAATAGTATTAACCAATGTTACCCCAAGAAATTTAATTTAAAAATACAGATATGTACCTTGAAACAAAAATATTTATAGCAGTGATGTAAGAAAAACAAAAGAGAAATAGAAAACTGGAAATGATCCAAGTATCTATCATTGTTGACCGGATAAACATGTTTTGTTATATTGACCCAATTGATTATTTTGCCATGTAAATGTATGAATTATTGCTGTCACAACGAAATGGATGAATTTTGTGACTGCATAAAAAAAAACAAAAAAACAACAACATGTAGTGGGTTGAGCATCATCTCATGCACCAAAAGATAGCCAGCTGAACTCCGGTAAGGGCACAAAAGAAAAAAATACTGAAGGAATATAAACTGAAAGAATGGAGATTAAAATGGCAATGGAATAAGTGGATGTTGCATGGACATGCTCCCAGGACCAAACTGAAATTACAACTAAAATTCAGAAAAACTCGCAGAATAATTAACTGAAAACTCAATGGAGAGAACCCTGATAACTGAGAATGGAACGTGGAGACTGTAGGGACTGTTAGGAGGAGCGGAAATGCGAAAGTACTGGCAGGGCTGCTATAGACAGCAACTGAATTTCTGGAGAGATATCTCAGCTGTGTGGGGTTGCCACTGAGAATTTTGGGGTCTAATCCCCAAGGTGGGCCCCCCCAGCAGAGAGCTCCAGAACTGAGAGTGGTACACATATAACATATGGCTATGAAAAGCAGCAGGGTTGCTGTCTGCCAGGGATGGAAGGCTGGAAATGTAGGCACCCGCTTAAAGGACCAACACACAAAAATCCCTGTGCAGCCACTCATCTTTTGTTCCGCCAGAAGGAGGGCAAAGTGAACTAGAGCTGTGTGAGCAGAAGCTAGTGTTGGGGGCTCTGGGGATACAGCTTAGAAGGCAAACACCCAGTTACCTGTGCTGAGTCTTTTCCTCTTGCTGTGGAGGATATCTTTCTCAAGCAGATAATTGCTATGCAGGTAATTTTGCTGCGGGGGGTGGGGGGCTAGGGGGTGAGGAAGGGCAAACAGTTGACCCACCCTATTGGAAAAATGCCTTGACCCACAGTGTGGAGTTTCTGAGGCCCAATAAGACACTGAGAATAACATTTAGCATCCGGGCAGAAGCAATTGCCCCACCGTGTTGGGAAAACTGGCCAAACCTGTGGGCAGTTGCCTGAATCCAATCAGTTTGCGGCAGAGGCGGTCTCTGGAGACTTTGAGTCTTTATCTGACCTAATTAGTCATGTATAGCATTTGACACTGTCCTTTCTGCACTAGAGATTTAGAGACGTAGTTGGTCTACCTCATACATAGTCACAAACACAAATAGGCAACCAAAATGAGGAGACGAAGAAACAACCCCCAAAGGATAGAACAAGATTATTCTCCAGAAGAACAGATAAATGAAATGGAGATAAGAAATTTATCTCTTACAGAGTTCAAAATAATGATGGAAAGATGCCCAACAGTATGAGAAAAGATACAGTAACTATGAAAACATAAATAAATAACATAGCACAAATGAAGAACACATTGGAAGGAATACAGTCTGCCTTAGGGGGAGCTGAGGAGTGAATCAGTGAATCAGAAGACAGGGTAGAAAAAAATCACTCAGTGAAACAAAAAGATAAATCAATTAAAAAACAGGAGGACAGCTTGTCTAAAAGCGGCCCACCTCACAAAAACAAACAAACAACAAAACAAAACAAATACAGGATGAGAGTGAAGGGATGGGGAAAAATTTTCCATGGAAATGGAAAAGAAAAATAGCTGGAGTAGCAATAGAACTCATATCTGACAAATGTACTTCAAAATGAAGGCCATCACAATAGACAACAAAGGTCACTACATAATACTAAAGGGATCCATCCAACAAGAGGATATAACCCTGGTAAACATGTATGCACCCAATATAGGAGCACCTAAATATATTAAATAAACAAAACTTCTAGGGGACTTTAACGGAGAGATTAATAACAATGCAGTCATAGTAGGTGTCTTCAATACCCCTCTGATTTCACTAGATCTTCCAGACAAAAACTTAACAAGGAAACAGTGAATCTAAAGCACACACTGGATCAATTGGATTTAATTGACATTTATAGAACATTTCACCCCAACGCAGCAGAACATACATACATTCTTCTCAAGTGCACACGGATCGTTCACAAAGATAGACCACATGTTAGGACACAAAACAAGTTGCTACAAGTTCAAGAAGATTGAAATCATATAAAGCATCTTCTCAGATCACAGTGCAATGAAATTAGAAATCAATTACAGTAAAAACACCCAAAAACATTCAAACACATGGAGGCAAAATAGCATCTTATTAAACAATGAATGGATTACCAACGAGATCAAGAAAGAAATAAAAACCTTCCTGGAATCAAGTGAAAATGAACACACACAACCTAAAATCTCAGGGACACAGCAAAAGCAGTCCTGAGCAGGAAGTTCATAGCATTACAGGCCTACTTCAAAAAACAAGAAAAGTTAATAAGAAAGTATCTAACACTACAACTTAAAGAAATAGAGAACAATAAGAAAAGCCCAGAATTAGTAAAAGGAAGGAGATAATAAAAATTAAAGCAGAAGTAAATAACATGGAGACTAAAAAAATAATACAAAATATCAATGAAACTAAGAGCTGGTTCTTTGAAAAGATAAACAAGATTGATGAGCCTTTAGCCAGACCCATCAAGAAACAAAGAGGATTCCCAAATTAATAAAATCAGAAAGGAAAGCGGAGAAGTAACCAATGACACCACAGAAATTAAAGCATTGTAAGAAAATACCATGAACAACTATATGCCAACAAGCTGGACAATGGATGAAATGGACAAATTCTTGGAAAAATGCAGTCTCCCAAAATTGAGTCAGAGATCAATGGGGGGGGGGGGGGCAGGGGGGGGGGGGGAGCATATGTAATACCTTTAGCAATAAAGATTTAAAAATAAATTGAAAAACAACCACCAAAAAACCATGTATTAGAAAACTGTACACTTTACTAAAAAAGTCAGGTTAAGCTGTCTATAGGTTACATGTGTCATTTATCATTTGTGGGGAGCCGCTATAGGGTTAAACCTCAGACTGACCTGTTGGCAAAGTCACAAACAAGTCCCAGCTTAGAGGGCACAGTCCTCTTAAGCATAATTAAGCATGATCTTATAAGCTCCCTAGATCTTACCTGGGAAGCTAATGGGCTGAGGGAAGTGCAACAAGAACAAAAACAAGTGAAACTCACAAGAACAGTGTAACTTTGGTAACCACTACCTTGTTTACCTCTGACTATAAAAATAAAGGCTCAGCTTGCCTCAGGATCTTTCTCTGTGGCCTCAGCCAGGCACAGGAAGATCCACAGAGACAAAAGATAGTTAGAGAGTTCTGAACGCTGTCTCCGTGTAAAACATTCTTCGCCGACTCCATCCACACCTTTGGAAACCCCTGGACCACTGGGACTGGACCCCGGCAATCATTAAACTATAATTTACAAATACCAATAAAAGTATAAACTTAAAATTTTAAAATACAGATTACTTGAGGATGGGGAGAGAGGGAGGAGGGCATGGAATGGAGAAACATAACATAAATGGACATTACTGGTAGTATTTTGTTAATGGTTTGAAGATACTTAGTATTTTTAGTAGAATATTATACTTTATGATTAATGTATTTTGCGTGTTTTTTATGTGCATCAAATGTAAAGGCATGTTTACCCCAATATTATAATGTTGGTGTAAACATGCCTTTACATTCCTAGTTTGGGTTTTTTTTCCAAAGGCCCTAAGAAGGACCAGAGCAATGTGTTCAAGTAAGATATTTTAACTGTAGTTATTTAAGACTGCTGTCTCTCTTCATCTTGATTTCTCCTTATTTTATTACCACCTGACAGCACAGTGGTTTCAGGCATTTTGTGATTAGATATATATTTATTACAGGTTTAATAAAATACAATGATGGCTCACAATCCCAGGTGATTATTGCCTTATCAACCTGATTGTGATAGGAATGTAGTCTACACTGCCTGACACCTGAAATATGTGCATAGTGAAGAAGTAAGGATTGAGGTTTATGAAACCAAAAATACTGGGGTGGTAAACCAATTATCTGATATTTAAAATTGTATGTAGAGTATTTAGTTCTCATAGATTTCCAGTGAAAACAGAACTTTTGTTAGAAATATACTCACTAACAACATATTCAATTAAAAATTAACCGTATTTTTTTCCATTTTGTCAGGTATTGTACCTTCAAACTAAAATACTTTTTATGTTTATAGGGCACAAAGTTGTAGCAGTACCAACAAGAAGTATGTCTTGAGGTAAAACAAATGTTTTCTACATCCAAATTACCAATTTAAAAAATCATCCATGCCAGAGGGAAGACTTGGTTTATTCATTGTCTATTTCACAAATATTTCAAAAATTGTATTCATGAAGAAGCCATCTAATATGCAGTGATATAGGAAAAATAGAATTGTAAATTGTATCAGGCCCTTAACTAACATGTTCTTTATTTTGTTAGATAACTTGTCTTTCATGTGTCATAATTATTTTTGTTTTGTTTATGTTATTTCTTTCCCTTCTAACCTGGCAGTATTTCTTTGTTTTCTTAAAAATTTTTTTCAATTACAGTTGACATACAATATTATATTTGTTTTAGGTGTACAATATAGTTATTAGACAGTTATATAACTTACAAAGTGATCACCCTGATAGGTCTAGTACCCGTGTGACAGCACAGTGGCTTTTACAGTATTAGTGACTAGATCTCCTATCCTCATGACTGTTTTTATAACAGGCAATTTGTACTTTTTAATACCTTCACTTTTTTCATCTATCCTCCCAATCCTCCTCCTCTCTGGCAACCATCAATTTGTTCTTTGTATCAATGAGTTAATTTCTGTTTTGTTTGTTCGTATATTTTGTTTTATAGATTCCGCATGTAAGTCAAATTATACAGTATTTGCCTTTGCTTGTCTGACTTATTTCACTTAGCATAACATCCTCTAGGTCTGCGGTTCTCAACCTGTGGGTCGCGACCCTTTTGGGGGTCGAACGACCCTTTCACAGGGGTCGCCTAAGACCATCGGAAAACACATATATAATTACATATTGTTTTTGTGATTTATCACTATGCTTTAATTATTTTCAATTTGTAACAATGAAATTGGGGGTCACCACAACATGAGGAACTGTATTAAAGGGTTGTGGCATTAAGAAGGTTGAGAACCACTGCTCTAGGTACATCCACATTGTAAAAAATGGTAAGACTTCCTTCTTTTTTATGGTTTAGTAATATTCCATTGTATATATGTACTACATCTTTTAATCCATTTGTCTGTTTTTTTAAAATATATTTTTATTGATTTCAGAGAGGGAGAGGGAGAGATAGATAGATAGATAGATAGATAAATGATTAGAGAGAATCATTGATCAGCTGCCTCCTGCACCACCACCACCACCCCCCACACCCCCACTGTGGTTTGAGCCTGCAACCCTGGGATGTGCCCTGATCTGGGATCAAACCATGACCTCCTGGTTCATGGGTTGACACTACACCACTGAGTCACGCCAGCTGGGCTATCCTTTTGTCTATTGATGGAAACTTAGATTGCTTTCATATTTTTGCTATTGTAAACAATGCTTCAGTTCATATATTGTTTAGAATTATTGTTCACATATTAAGGAAGTCGCACATTTTTCATATGTAGATTAACCATCTATATGTTCTATTTGAAAAAATCTCTTTGGGTGCTCTGCATATTTTTAATTGTAGTGTTTGGTTCTTTTCAGTGTTAAAATTTCATGAGTGTCTTATGCATTTTGGATATTAGCTTCTTATTGAGTATATCATGGGCAAATACCTTCTCCTATTTAGTAGGTTGCCTTTTAGTTTTGTTCATAGTTTTATTCACTGTGCAAAACTTTAGTTTGATGTAGTCCAATTGGTTTATTTTTCTTTAGTTTCCCTTGCCTGAGGAGATGTTTCCAAAAAATATTATTAAGAGCAATGTCAAAGAATTTACTGCCTGTGTTTCCTTTCCAAGAGTTTTATGGTTTCAGGTCTTACACTAAGTAGTTAATCCATTTTTAGTTTATCTTTTTACATGGTGTAAGAAAGAGATCCAGTTTCATTATTTTGCATATATCTGTCCAGGTTTCCCAATACTATTTATTGAAGAGACTGTTTTTACCTCTTGTATATTCTTGCCTCCTTTGTAATAGAATAATTGGCCATATTGGTTTGTTATTGGCCTATTCAGGTGTTTTGATTCTTCCTGATTTAATTTTGGGAGACTGTGTTTTTCTAGGAATTTGTCTATTTCATCTACATTGTCCAGCTTGTTGGCATATAGTAGTTCATAGTATTTTCTTACAATCCTTTGTATTTCTGTGGTGTCAGTGGTTACTTCTCCACTTTTGTTTCCAGTTTTATTTATTTGGGTCCTCTCTCTTTGTTTCTTGATGAGTCTAGCTAATGGTTTATCAATTTGTTTATCTTTTCAAAGAACCACCTCTTAGTTTCATTGATTTTTTTGTATTATTATTTTTTTAGTCTCTATGTTATTTATTTCTGCTCTAACCTTTATTATTTCCTTCCTTCTGCTTACTCTGTGCTTTTGTTATAGTTCTCTTTCTAGTTCTTTAAGTTGTAGAGTTAGATAGTTTCTTATTAACTTTTCTTGTATTTTGAGGTATGCCTGTAGTGTTACAGAAAAACCGGAGAAAAACCAAGCAACGCTCTGAGAGTTTGGAGTTACGCTTTATTCTCCGTGGTGGGCTCAGAGAAAATGAATTCAAATTCTAAGCAGAGCTACAAGCAGAACTTCCCTTTTTATGAAAGAGCCAGCCCTTTGTGCGCTTAGTGGTTATCTTGCTGGTGGCCTTGAAAACTACACAGTTCTATCCAATTAAAAAATGCACCTGGCATGGCATTGGGCGTATCTGGTCTCTGGCCTACAAGGTCAGACAGCTAAGTTTATCTTCCTCATTATTCAAGCAGGCTAAAGCGGGCTAGAAAGCAAACTTATTTTTTCAGAATAAGAGGCCGTCTAAAGAATAGCAGAGAATTCCAAACAGTAGTTTTACAGAATAGGGGTTTGCCTTCTCAGTAGTGCTATGAACTTCCCACTCAGGACTGCTTTGCTGTGTCCCTGAGATTTTAGGTTGTTGTGTATTCATTTTCACTTGTTTCCAGGAAGGTTTTTATTTCTTTCTTGATCTCGTTGGTAATCCATTCATTGTTTAATAAGATGCTATTTTGCCTCCATGTGTTTGAATGTTTTTGGGTGTTTTTACTGTAATTGATTTCTAATTTCGTTGCACTGTGATCTGAGAAGATGCTTGATATGATTTCAATCTTCTTGAACTTGTGTAGCCTTGGTTTGTGTCCTAACATGTGGTCTATCTTTGTGAATGATTCATGTACACTTGAGAAGAATGTATATTCTGCTGCATTGGGGTGAAATGTCCAATAAATGTCAATTAAATCCATCTGATTCACTGTGAATTTTAGAGTCTCTGTTTCCTTGTTAAGTTTCTGTCTGGAAGATCTATCCAGTGAAGTGAGAGAGGTGGAGGGGTGTTGAAGTCCCCTACTATGACTGTATTGTCGTCGATCTCTCCGTTAAAGTCCTCTAGAACAGTGGTCATCAACCGGTATTCCGCGGACCACTGGTGGTCCATGAGGTCTGAAAGGTTGGCGACTGCTGATTTAAGGAAACCTTTGGAGCAGCCGTCGCCAACTTGGCGACCACTGCTATAGAAGTTTGTTTATATATTTAGGTTCTCCTTTATTGGGTGCATATATGTTTACCAGGGTTATATCCTCTTGTTGTATCGATCCCTTTAGTATTATGTAGTGACTTTTGTTGTTTCTTGTGATGGCCTTCATTTTGAAGTGTATTTTATCAGATATGAGTATTGCTACTCCAGGTTTTTTTTTCTTTTCCATTTGCATGGAAAATTTTTTTCCACCCCTTCACTCCCATCCTGTTTGTGTCTTTTGTTTTGAGGTTGGTCTCTTTTAGACAGGATATAGTTGGGTCAAGTTTTTGTATCCATATAGCTACTCTACGCCTTTTGATTGGAGCATTTAATCCATTTACATTTAGGGTTATTGATAGGAACTTATTTATTGCCATTTTAATTCTGTATGGCTAGGTTTCTCTCTGTGTTTCTTCTTCTCATTACAGCAAACCCTTTAGCATTTCTTGTAATGCTGGCTTGGTGGTGATGTACTCCTTTACCTTTTTTTGTCTGGAAAGCCCTTTATTTGATTGTTTATTTTGAATGATAGCCTTCCTGGATATAGTAATCTTGGTCTCAGATCCTTGCTTTCCATTGCCTTGAGTACTTCATGCCATTCCCTTCTGGCCTGTAGAGATTCTGATGAGAAATCAGGTGTCAGCCTTATGGGAACTCCTTTGTAGGTAACAGTTTGTTTTTGTCTAGCTGCCTTAAAGATTCTTCCTTTGTCTTTTTTTGGTATTTCAATTATGATGTGTCTGGGCGTGGGCCTGTTTGGGTTCTTCTTGTTTGGGGTTCTCTGTACCTCCTGCACTTGTGTGACTTTTTCCTTTAACAGATTATGGAAATATTCTGCCATTTCTTCAAACACCTTCTCTATGCCTTTCTCCCTTTCTGCCTCTTCTGGCACACTTGGCTATTGTAATATTGTTACGTTTCACATTGTTCTACAGCTCCCTTAAGCTGTTCTCCTGTCTTTTAATTGTGTGTTTTTTTTGGTTCTCTGATTGAGTGATATTTTCAACGCTGTCTTCTGATTCACTGATTCAATCCTCAGCTTCTCGTAATCGGCTCTGTATTCCTTCCGACTTTGTGTATTTGTGTTATGTCATTCTTTATCTCAGACTGTTCTTTTTTCATAGTTACTATATCTTTTTTCATGCTGTTGAGCATTTTTTCCATCATTACTCTGACCTCTGATTCAGATAAATTTCTTATCTCTGCTTCATTTATCTCTTCTTGAGAATTCTCTATTTCCTTCATTTGGGAGTTGTTTCTTTGTCTCATTTTGGCTTTCTGTTTGGGTTTGACTATGTATTAGGTCAGTGATGGTGAACCTATGACACGTGTGTCAGAGGTGACACGCGAACTCATTTTTTTTGGTTGATTTTTCTTTGTTAAATGGCATTTAAATATATAAAATAGCCCTAGCCGGTTTGGCTCAGTGGATAGAGCGTCGGCCTGTGGACTCAAGGGTCCCAGGTTCGATTCCACAGTGATGGTGAACCTATGACATGCGTGTCAGAGGTGACATGCGAACTCATTTTTTTGGTTGATTTTTCTTTGTTAA